TTTTTTTTTTTGTTTTTTGTTTTTTTTTGTTCATGTATTCATCAGGGACTTGCTCTAACCCTACCCTAAGGGCTGGGAAAAATTATCTTGGCATCTTAGTACAGCTGACTGAGAAAAATCAAGATATATTGAAGAGCTTCAGATGACTCGAATGGCCTTTTTCTGGTTTGTGTGGTGACRATTGAGTCAGTCACAGGTAACCTCTCATAGTTAGAGAAAGTTGAGGCCTTGATGAACATGGGTAGAAAAGGAGAAAGAATGTAAATCTGGGGTAGAAAATTCACCTTGAAGCACAAATTAAACAACCACAACTTAAATGTACCATTAAACTTGATATCTGGACAGAACTTAATAATTGGATTAAAATAGGCTACTAACACCTTACCACATAAGGTTTCCTTCCACTGAAATGACAAAAAAATTGTTTCCTGCTATGTTCCTGCTACATCTCCTATGTTCAAATGCTTAAAGTTGGAATTCTRTATCCTTAGTATCTTTTATTGCATTTTAATTTAGTGTAATTTAATAGCAGCTGTTCAGTCAAGTTGTTCAAGGTCTTTACACCCATGTGTCCAGGTGTACCTCTCCTTCCAGATACATGCGCCTACAAGGATAATGGGTAGCTGTGATAAGGGAGAATATGAAGAGAAGTCTGGACCTGACACAAACCCAAACCAACATGAAAACYCCCAGAAACTGTGTCTTGCTGCTCTTCAGTACCAAGAGAAGGTAAAAAAATTTAAAAAGGAATCTGCACTCTTAGGGCATATGGCAGCACACAGATGCAGGACTGCACTCTCAGTTTTCCCATGGGATACACAATTCCAYGATGCTTCACAAGCGAAATAAATTTCTGTTTTAACTCAGCTATTAGTTTATGCTCCAGAACCAACCTGTCGCAACAAATATGGTACAAGCCCATGTAATACTTTTCTTGGATATCTGCAGAAAAGCCAAGACTGTTTCAAAAAAGCTACAGAAAGAGTTAATCTGTTAGAAACTCTCAGCATAAGTCATTAGTTCAGCTGTGAGTCAGCAGTACCTGTCTAGAACTGCAARTAGGAGACACTTTGACACAGATAGGCAGCTTCCAGCAAGTCTCTCACCATCTCCTCCACTCCCACCACCACTTAGCTTGAATATTCCTCATACCTTGAATTTGGCAAGTTGTCACAGAAGCAGTTTCACTGCACAAGATATGTTCTACAACCACTTTGCATTGCCCAAATGTTTATGCAGATTGTCATCTCAACTGGCAGATTCTCAGAACATTTTTAACATGTTTTAAGCCAAGGACATAACAATAAAGATATACCTACTTTAAAAAGGAGTTTTAACAAGCTCAACAGCTTTCAACAGCTGTGCAACCTCTCCCCATGATGACTGAGAAGTTCCCATTTGAAGGAAGACATTTATTTATTCAAAAACACATCAGCTAAATTTCTCAATAGCTCACTAAACCAAGTGTTCTTTTATGCTGTGATAGTTTGCAAATAACCATATTTCAGCAGCACTTTTCATTCCCATAATACTTTAATGAATGTACACACAAATAATTTATAAAATAYTGCAGCCTAGGAGAAAAAACCATTGTATACCTCCTGTGTACCTCCAAAGATAAGGAATATTCAGGTAATCTAGACTAGGGACTTTGGACTTTATGCCTCGCCTGAAAAGCTGCCCTTCCAGCAGTAAAATTCCCACTATTATGCTCAGCCCTGATAAGAATCAGTGCTGAAGAGACCCACCTAATGAGTCATTTCCGGGAATATCCTAATTTTCTTTGGCAAAAGACTTGGGCAGAGATGTTCCTTTTCAAATACTTTCAAAGTACAATTCTATTTTACCTTCTTCAGTCAAGCAGATTAGCAGCCCACAATGTTACAGCTTCAAGGCTGAGTCCATAAATATAATGTTATTCTGATAGAGGAAACCATCTATTTCTGTAAAATATTCCCAAAATACCAACTTTTATACTTATCCAAACAACTGAATCCTGTGAAGACTCTCATTCCTCTGACCAGAATACCCTTTYCTCTGACCATAACAATAACATTCAAAGTCCTGCTACAAGTTTCATTTTTCTAAAAGGTACTCTTATCTGTTCCTTGTGGCATCAAGAATAAACTGCTTCTTCCCAGTTCAGGACCTTTGATCATGCCTTATCGGCCAAGAGAAAAACGCTGCTTCCATAAAAATCACAATGTMACCTTCAGGTGCTGCAAACAAAGGTTCATATGCTTTTCCCAGGTTCCAACCCTCTATCAGTTTCAATGCTATCTCGATTAAATTCCATTTGAAATCTCTCCTTGCTTTTGTAACTATAAAATGCCCAAGTCTACCACTAGCTGAGATGTGCTGAGATCAGTCTACCTTGCTGACTAGCATTCCAATTTTCTTCTATTTACCATCACCACTTTCAACTCCCTCTGTTGATTTTATCTTAAAAGACTGCAAACATTAATGATTAGAAACTTTTTGTTCTTTTATTGCCATTTCTATTTTCTCCATTTATTGTAAACATGTGTGTCTAATTACATAACGATGGTATGATGTATATGAATCAGGAACTTGTTTTATCCTCTTAAAAACCCAAGACTTTGTTAAGTCTTAACTTAATTAATTCTTCCAAATTGCAAAATACTGATACACTATTCAGAGAACGGCATGGTCATTTTCTGGAGATAAAGATCTAGCCATAGTAAGTGAGGTACCCTTCAATCCAAATTACTGTCCTTCGGTGCACACATTMTAAATCACTTCAACACAAGCCTTACGTCTTGGCTCTAAACCCTCTCTGAAGCTCCCCAGCATTTCCCTATGCTGTGCCACATAACTCCATAATGTCCAATACTGTAAGGCACACAGAACTCAACTACACTCAAATCCAAAGTTCCTTACAGGTGATAGCATGAGACTGTAGCAAGACGCTGATATTGCCAAGAGTCACCAACATGTACTCCAGAGGATGGAGTGAAGGGACATCACCAAACAGAAGCCACCACTTATCAAATGGTTTCATCACTCTCACATGGGATGAAACTGAACATGCAAAGGCTTTSATGGCAGCCTGGTGATCGTGAGCTTCAGTTAACAGTCTTTCAAAACCAGGAATTCTGGTCACTGAGTGATCCTGTACTTTGCCACTAAATTGTCACCCACTATACAGTTTCCCATAAGGCACCTGCAACKTTAGAATCATAGGCAGACTGTTCTCACTCTAGGATCAGGTGGCCTACTAGGACATTTAATTCTAAACTCTAGGTCTTGCTTTGCCTTCCAGGAAATCTAAAAGAACCTTTCAGACATTTGCAGTGAGAAAGTTACTCAACCTTGTTAAGTGCCGACCAAGGTGGCAAAGAAAAAACTACAGATGTCTACAATCTGAAGGTGACCTAACACTTCCTTTGACTGTCTCAGCTTTACACAACTCACTCACCACAAAGTACAGGGAAGCTCTTTCTGGCATACTACTACTACTACTACTACTACTAGTACTAATAATAATAATAATAATAATAATAATAATAATAATAATAATAATAATAATTTATCACTGGAGCTCTGTGGAACTTCCACAGCCAGTAACATCAATCCTTCCAATCAAACAGTGTAACAAGGTTTTGTGAACTGCAGAACATTAGTTTTCCTACAAAAAAAAAACATAGTAAAGAAGCACTGAAAAGCAGACCTGTTATCAGAACATGTATCATGACACCGCTGCTTGGTGAGGACACACTACATGAGACATGAACGCACTCTACCACTTACCATTCTTCCTTTCACTGAGTGGAGGGAGGTTGGGGTTCCGGCCATGATGGAGGTTGAGGGTCAGCTCGGGCTGCAAGGAGAGCTCCTGCAGCTCATTGGCAACAGCTTCACTTTGTGGGCTAGGGGCCGCTGACAGGGACACAAGCACCGGCTCATCGTCATTTTCGCCAGCCCCTCCTCCGTCCAGCCCATTTCCAGCAATGACGGAAGGGGGCAGGCACACCACGCCAGAGAAATCCACTTTGGCTTTCGTAATGGCAACCTGCAAGACAAARCAGAAAAAAATAAACCATAAATCTCACAGGAGAGTCTTAGCCATACRTCCAGTCCATCGTGATGTCATCCATGCTACAGAGAAACATGCTGAGTTTGTGCGATCATCATCAATTAAAATCCAACAAGTCATTGAAACTTGCTCAACTCAGCAATTTAAAAACTTGCATAAACCTCCAACAGCATCACCACAGAAACTGCTGATGAAACTACAGATTATTATAATTTTCCTAGAAAGTATRAGAACATTCTCAATTTTTGGTGTTTTAGAAACCCAATCTTGAGAAGACACTGACTGAGTCACTCCAGTGAAGTCAGCCTATTTAGAACCTTGCTGAACTCTTGATCACTGTCCTATGTCAACAATAGTGTTTTAACAACAGTCTCTTTGAAATCCAGTCAGGTAAAGTAGTTCTTCATAATAAACGTTGAAGAACAGTGGAATACAACAAATGAGGATTTTCAGATAAAAATCAATTGCATTTCAAAAAATAATTTGCTTATTACATTCTCTCTTCCCCATTCACAATCAGTGAAAATGAATAAGAGAAAAATATTCCACATAAATGAAAAAGCTTTCCAGTCTCAAACCTCAGCTACAGTAACCGAAACGTGCAATATATAAAGGGGTTTAACAAAATAAGTAATTTTAAAATGTTTTATTATATTTCCATAATTCTTTAAATAAGTATTCAAAAGCCACTACTATATTCAAATTGAAATTCTTTTCTGTTCAGTAATTTAAACAGAAACAAACCAGCTCTAAGTCTGAAATGGTTACTGTGTCAACATTTAAACAGTAACGGACATTATACAAGGACAATCATATTTGGTTTTGATTAATGAGGACGGAASTCTCCTGCTTCTTAGCATGCTGCTGTTTCAACCACTCTAAACTCAAAAGACTCTGCTGCACTGTTGTAATTTAGCAAGCAAAAGATACTTGCAGAGGCTAACCTTCAATTGCAAAAAGATGCAGGTAAARCAACCTGCAAAGATGCAAAGTAAAAACCATCAGGATAATCCTCCAGAAATMAATCAAAAAGCATAAATTTGAAACAATGATTTTAACAATACAGATTTTTACTAAGTATTCCCCACTTAAGACTCATAATTAACTAGGATGAGTGTGACGTCAACACATCGATAGCCGACAAAGGAGCTCAAATAGTCATGTTCCCCACTTGCATTTCAGTTGCATACTTCAGTTGATTAGTAACATTTGTTCTATAATAACCAGAACAAAGCTGTAAGTGGTACAAAAATTTGTTTCAAAAATCTGTTCAGTGTATATTTAAGATAATAATAAGAATTTACTGGTAATGAAAACATGTTGTTTCATCCATGTTGTCACACATTCATTCCCAGGACCCTATGTCATGATCTGAAGGGAAGCAAAGAAAAGGGTAGAGAAAAAAAATAGAAAACAACAAAAWCCACCAACTGAAGCTGGTGCTTGTTAAAACAAAACAAATGAGACTGAGCCAAACCTTACTGCCATATAAACTATTTACTTTTATTCAATTAAAATTTGACTGGAAAGTGCCTACCTCTTCCTTCATATTTTTACTGTCCAAAGCAAACAGAATCATATCCATTTGAAAGCAAATTAACAGTAATTTGAAAAGAGAAAATAAAAATGTATCATGCCCTTCTTTTAACAAYGGATAGAGAAAACCTGAGTTTGGTGCACTTTAACAATCTTTGCAAAGGCTGCAAAGAGTTAAAACACATCCAATATAGCTGGCCTCTGTCCCTGTCCCTGTAGGATGGGAGACCTGTGGAAAGGGGCTAAAAGGAAAAGTAATTGCTCATTTAGGAGGCTGGCTGGTATAGGCTGCTGGCACCACRTTAGAGGAGCCAAAGTCAATCTGGAATTTATGGAAGGAGATGTACTGGAGATATTACACTTTGCCTAGTTCCACATGGTGGTCAGATCATACGGAAGCACAAGTGCAGCCAGGTATGAAATCACAAACAGGTGACAGCCATCTAACACCCRCACCACAAGGATTTGGAATGGCAGGATTCTCAACCTTCCCTCCTCAATCTGCACTAGAAAAGAGAGATTTCCTTGCTTTTCTCAAAAGGGGAAAATAGCTTGATGTGTCTCAAATATGCAAGATCTGCTTCAACTAGGTAAATAGCAAATGTCCTTAAGAGCTTCTAACATATCAGATTTTCTTTTCAAGAGGAATTTGTAACCTGCATGATGAACTAGAAAAATCATGTTTCAAACATCCCTTTAACAACAGTAAAACAGAATCTATTTCCCTAATCAGTACATTCACATTAGCCAGACTACTGAAACAATATCATTTATGTAAAAGCACACTACCAAGCCACAGCAAAAGCAGTCCAGCAGAGCCAGCTACAGCACAAGGAGCAAGAGACCAGTGCTGACACACCAGTTTGCTATGAGACCTTGAGCAACACCATACTAAATGGTGTTAATTGGTATTGGGGTTATAAACCAGAATTTCTCCAGTAAATTATCCAATGAAACTTCACCACAGCAGCTTGACTGGATAGAATTGTACCTGGATGTGCACATTTCCAAACTCATGCAGAAAAAGACACAGGAAGGTATCTTAATCCTAGCTGGCACATCAGTCAGTGTTTGTCCCACATCAAAGGAACACAGTTTAAGCAAACCTTGACTTGACCCTCATTCTTGCTCTGCTACTATGTCCTGAGTTGTGCCAGCAGTCATGCTGCTTGTAGAGCCATACTGTGAGCTGTATCAGAAAGCTGATTCAGCTGAAATGCAATTTTTCATTTGGATCAATTCCTCCATACAAGGCACATGGTTGTTGTTGAACCATACAAGTTGAACCAGCATGGTACAAGGAAATTATACCACAAAATTAAAAAAAAAAAAATAAAAAAAACCCCAAAGCATTAAAAAAAAAATTAGTCTGACTGTGCATCTCAAACAGTCGGGACAAGAAGTCTTAAGTCCAAGTAGGGTTGCAGTTCAAATAAAACTAAACTGGGATGAACAATTAAATGCATTTGGTAAGCCTGTCTTCTCTTTCCTCCACATCATCTCCCATTTTAGGCCAGAACAAGACTCTGCAATGACACACAATAAACCAAGGAGAAAACCGACCTAGGTGTAAAAGCCAGTCTTCTGGTTCACACTTCTGCTAAGTAAGGTCCCTGGTGCAGTTTGCTGTGCAAAGTCACCAATGCTCATGCTTGGGACTTCACAAGGATAGAACCAGCTTTATACCATTAGTACATCCAAACATCTAGCCTCYACCTAAAGAGAAGAGAGCTCTTTTTCAGGTCAGTGACACGTCTTAGTATGGAACAYATCCCCACATTAAAAAAAAAGAAAAAAGGCATCCAGTACTCAAGACAACAATAAAAACTGTTGGATGAGTTTGATTTAAATGTTTTCCATTAAAAGTCTGATGAGGGCAGAGAGGGATTTGACAGATGCTTTGAGGATTTATAATCATTCATGCTACAATACTTGGAAGTCCTATGAAAGACATGGAATCCTTTTCTGCAACCAATGTAAGTCTGCTTCTAGAGTTCCCAGACAGTTATACCACTCTATAACTGTCACTGTAGAATGATCAATCAGATAGTTACACACACTAATATTTASAACCTAATTAAAATTTTACTATGTTTGTTTTCCTGCCATTTCCAAACAAGACTAGAAACTTTCCCATAAAGGAATGTGTCATGCCATGATTATTAAGTGAGTCATCCAGAAGCCAATGGACAGTATTAAGAACAAGTATTTCTTATTCTCAGTAAAGGTTTCAGGATAAGTACCCTCAAGGACTTCTATCTGTTGCCTAACCAGGCAAAAGCCTTCTATCACAGCATTTTTCTACTTTTGGCCCAGCTGCTTCTGGGACAAGAGTGGCTGTGATACCACAGATGTTTCACAGTGGCAACATCAGCTTAAGCAACCCTTAACTCTTCCAGTGTCCAGCTGCTCATTTCTGTCCCTACACTGTCCCTTCTTCATCTGGTGAACAGATTTAGCTGAAAACCAGTTGTTTTTTTTTTTCCTAGGTATTCAATAAAATCAGTTCCCCAGTCCAATGCCAACTATAGTGTCACCATAGTGCATGTGTCCATATCCATCATACATGTTAGCTAGATTAAACCATTTAATAATGCTTTAAGATGACTGCTATCAAAAGTAGCCATCATAATTTCTTTTTTTATTTCCTCACGCCTTATTCTCCCTCATGATAACCAAGTTTTTATGTGGCTGGGTGGCAAGCCAGATCAGCAACAGATGTAGTTTAAAACTAGCAGTGTGTGTCTGTGTGTGTGTGTGTGTGTGTGTGTGTGTGTGTGTGTCTCTCGCCAGGTCAGATTGAACACGAATCAGTTCCTTGATCTGGTTCAGCCTGTGCTGGTTCAGCCTGTGCTGGCTGACAGGAGCTGAGGAACGAGCAGGCTGGACTGCTCCTTTTGTTGGCAGTGCCAGTTTAGTGTCTAACCAGAGGATGTGGTTGTATGATACAGCTAAGCCAAGCTGGTCTCTTGCCAAAAGGGGCAGTCTTGGACTGCATGCCTTTGTTGCTTCCCTGTGCCAACATTGGTGCTTGTCTGCCATTATGATGAGATGATTAATAGAGCTAAAATGACAGCAAACTAATCCTTAGTCCTTCTCCCCCTTCCAGTTTACTTTTCACTAGCTTACTGTTGGTCAGAGAGGTTTCCACACTGAATGCACCTGKTTTTTTTTGTTTCCCTTTCACCTCCCAGGCTTTGAGCTATCCTTCAGTGATTCAGGATTAACAGCTTTAAGAGAGATTTCTATAAGTAATTTTGTCATATGGTAAATGCAATGTAGAGTATGCTTTCACCAATGACTAAGCTAATCAGGTTTCCTGTGTGTTCACTGTGATATGGTGTTGCAATGGCAAGAGGGTGCAATTAAAAAGCTACCATGTAAAACAAGCTTCAGAGAAAAGTTTAGTCTTTATAGTTTGCAGGTTTGATAAATGGAATATTTTTTTTGAAAATTCTTAATGGCTGTGGTTCTTAATCATACTTTACGCAAAAATGACTTCGCTTTGTCTAGCTGAAATTGAACTGTTTAAATGCCTTCARAAGTTTGACATGGAAAAAGATTATTTATGTATTTACAAGTAACGTCTACTGTTTCTTTTGAGCAGATCCACTTTCTCTGTGGTGTCATGGTTCCTACTTGTATTGTAGTCACAGCTGTTTTGTGTTTTATAGCAACATACTTTAAAAACTCCTAGTTCCTGAGAGCATGCTGTTGCCCCTACATGTTTTTGGCAATATTCACATACTCATGGCATAATCAAGATGTTGACAATCAGTATTTAACTGAACCATAGAACACTATCACCTTCCCTTATGTGAAAACTCAATAACTAGAATAAAACATACAGGAATTTAAATTTAAATCATAAAAGAAATTTTAAAGTAAGTACATAAAAATTGGAGAAGCGCAGGGGAAAAAAAATCAAGAACACATACAATTCCCAAATCAAGAAAGGACACCTCTCTAAACAGCTTTCCCTTGTTTGCATTTTAGAACCAAGTTGCCAGGGCAATAGCAATTTCCTACTGATTTAAGAATTGCTAAGCAACCTCCAGCACCTAACAGCAACAGCATGTGTGTGCAGCTGGGCTATTTTGAGTAGACTGGGCGCTTTTTTATTTTAAACTTAAGAGTAGCCTTCTGTTAAATAGAGATCATTACTTGGGGCAAAGTGGACAAACCTTTGAAATGAGTGAGAAGACTGGAAGAAAATGCCATGACATGCCCAAAAGCAATTATATCCCCCAGGTCATCACAAACTAAAAGAATAACCCAGGAGAAGTGAAGTTTTCAGCAGGTGGAAGCAGAAGCATCACATTAGCTTGAGAAGCTATAACACTCAGAGCAAGAGATATCTATAGATATCAAAGTCACCAACAGGAAGACCTACAAAGTTGTATTAAAAAAATTATTTCCTGTCAGTTAAACTCAAGCACACAACTGTTGGCAGAATTCTTTCTCCAGTTAATTGAGAGCTAACATGATCACACAGTCCACAAAGTATACACACAATACAGTCCACAGCGAGGCAAACATCACAATGAAGTATCCTGGAAGAGAAAGTCTTGAGGATTTCTTCAGGAACCACCTTAAGTTAAGAAATCAAATTATGCAGACCACTAAAAAGAGGCCTTCTTAGATTATGGAATTCTATTTTAACACACACATTCCACATGCATTTGACTTGTGCAAAATGAATCTGTCATGAGCTTCCTTCACTTTCACAGTAACTGGAAGCAGGGATGGGGAGAGGGGCAAAAGCAATCAAAAAGTAACCAAGTAGTGATTTGGAGGTGTAAACCGTCCATCTTAGCATTATCACAAGCCACTACCCTGCAAAGCCGGTATTAGAAAGGCAAAGATTGTAGCACATGGGAATGAAGATGTTGGTAAAACACAGATGAGTACAACTTCATCTGAGCTAAAGACGCTGAATCTGTATGTATACTGTGTCGGTAACACTGCAGTAACAAAGGATATCRTTGAATCTTCACCGTCTCTCCCTGCTACCACCCCCAGCAAATCTAGCAGTACAAGAGT